ATTGACAGCCTGTAGCTGTTGGTTAATAATGCTGTTGACAGTATTTAGTAATGGGTGGGCAGCCAGGAATCTTTCAAGCGCTGAGGCACAAAGGTAGCATGAAGCTGCCTTTCCTGAACCTTAAGCTCCCAGTCCCTGTGCAAACACTTTGCATTCACTTTAATTGTTTGAAAAACGAAGACTTCCAGACTCCATCAGCTCTAGCAGCTATCTGGGTGGATGGGGGTGGAGATGGAGGGGGTAGGGCAAGACCTCCCCACAGCGCCCTCCAGCAGCAGAAGATGCAACTTGCAAATACTTTAGGATCAGTGAAAAGTGTGGCATTTATTTCAGTAACCTCAAAAGAGAGAAAAAGAAAAGCAATGGAAGAGGACAAACATTCAAGTCTAGCTGCGTGATCATGGAGTTAAAAAAAAAAAAAAAAAAAAAAAAAAACAAGCTTGTCTTTGACACGGAAAGGGTCCTTGGAGGCCATTCGGTCCAATTCTCTCATTTCCTGGGTCAACATGTCACAATGAATTAACCACCTACTGCCACTGCACAAGACCCCCTCCCTCACCACATGCTGAGCCCCCACCACCAGCACTCAGTCCACTGAGCTCAAACACAGAGGAGATAAGTGCTGTTTTTCACAAGGTAAAGGCAAAATTCAATCCCACATTCCCGTTTTGTTTCTGTTCAGTGTTCCAACCACAGAGTGGTGCTATTGCAAAAGATAAGGGGAACCAGAAGGCACGCTCTGGAAATTTGCTTTAGGAGAGAGTTTTAAAGGGGGTTTTCAAAAACAAGATCTGGTTCCTGTTCTCAGAAATCACTTTCAGGAGTCAGGGCCTTACTCTCAGATGCAGCAAGGAGAAAAAGAAAGTTCAGCAACCTAAAAATATAGTCGACAGATGGACAGCCAAAGTCACGGCCCCTAAGTCAACTTGGAGAGGGGCAATTACCTAGTGAATCCTAAAAGATCTCATCCTGGATGCTTCCTTAACCAGGGCTATCTCCAGGGCACAAGCTCGCAGCCAGCTTACTTTCCAGTCCTGATCTTTGCTTTTGCTATCCATACCACTACGGTCTTTCTATAGAAAAGAAAAATCTCTATTTAGAAACACGGATTTACTTAGAAGTCACAATATTCTACAGTTTAAAAATGGCTCTACATTGTATATAATAATCTTTTTATTCTGTCTTCTTAAAAACACACCTTTCTAATTCTTTTTTTCTGCCCAGCCTCTTCATTCAGCACCTTGCCACTCTCTTGGAAGCCACAACAGAGACCTGGGGGGGTCAGCCCCTAGTTTGAGAAGGAAGAAATCTTTAGCTCTGAAGCCTAAAGAAAAACAGTAAAGGAAAAGGCAGTTGGAGGTGCTCAAGGGAGATTGTCTGAAAAAGGTCTTCTACTCAGAAAAGAGCTAAGGCTCTCCCTTTGGGAAACCAATCCTTCTGAGCAAAAGTGCATGTTTCACCCTCTGCTCCGGTCTGGGTCTCTCCCTCTTCCTCTCTCCTTCCCTCAGTCCCTCCTCCCCTCTCTCCACAAAGGCACAGCACATATTTGGCAAGATTAAGGTGTCACCTCTCATATTACAAGGCCTGTTGATTGCAAGCAAAGACAGACCCACCAGCTCAGGACAAAACCCCCTGGAGCTGGAAACAATACAAACTCTTCCTGGGATCCCCGAAAGTCCTGGCAAAGTGAGGCGGCCAACCAGTGCAAGGCATCTGCAGAACAAATCCAAGTCCTAAACGCACTGCTTGCTGCCTTTTCTTCTTCTTCGTTTCTTCTGATTTTTCAAGTTTGTTTGCCCCCCTTCCCCTCGTCCCTCCAGACTGCCAGGGACCCGGGAGCTGCCTGCAGATCAGCCCGCACATGTATTTAACCCCTTCTCTGCTGCAGCAGGAGCCAACCACCTCTTCCCTTGTAATCTTCAGGTTCCCGGAGGACCTGGAGCTTGAGGAAAGAACTCTGCCAGTGGATCTGAAACTGGGGCCTGAATCCCTCCTTTGACCACGGCGAGAAGCTGGAGGAGGGGGGCAAGTGCGGGAAGTGGGGGAGGGCAGGGAGGCGGGCCAGATGAGAGGGAGAAAAGCAGAACCCGACAGAGCACGCCCAATCCAAACCTTCATGGTGCTGTGTGGCGGGGTGGAGGGAACGACTCGGCAGCCTCTTCTGGCCCTGAGGAAGACGTCGATATTTTGGCAAGAGGGGAGCCACTGAAGGACGACCCTACCCTTGCGAGGGACCGCAGAAGGTGACGCCTCTGGGCCTCGGTGGGCGCTTCTGGCCGTTTTCGATGTGGCAACCCCCATCAGCCAGGATAATGATGAGGCAGGTACAATCTATCTAGTACGCAGCCCCCAGACTCCCCCTCCCTTCCCACCTCCCCCTCCAAGCCCCCAGCTACTCTCTGCGGCCGGTTGGTCCTGAACTGGTGGGTGCAGTTCCGGGGTTCAACCAAATTCTCAGACAATTCTAAGGTATTTGGATTTTTTGAACCTGGGCCCTAACCGAAACATAGAACGGCTTGCTTATTAGACACCTCGAACGACAGGGCAGGGATGGAAACGGGATACTCGCTTCCCTCCCCAGTCGCTCGTGAGTCAAAAGGTCCTGGAAGGAGATGATGAGAGGAGCGGCTGCAGTGGCAGAGGGAGGAAGGGATGAGGGGCTTGGAGCGGGGGTCCACCACTCAAGGACTCGGGAAGGGGACAAGAGGGCAAACCTCTGCTCCCGGACTCTCCATTTCTCCTTGATCCCTAGGTGGTATTTTCCCCCCTTCTCTCGATGGCAAATGGGCGAAATCAAGATGACTTAACTTGGTAAATTTAGAGAGAACGGCTCGGAGCAAGTGGGGTCTAACGGGCAGCTAAAATTATCTCCAAATAAGAGATTTTGCCCCCCTCCCCCTATCCTTTCCTCGAATGAATCCACCGGTGGGGAAGTGAGCGTCATTACTTTCGGGGCGCCACGAAGACGCTTGCTTGTCGCTCGCCTTTCCTGCCTCTCGCGCTGTCCCCGCGTGCAGACTGGTGGGTGCTGGGCGAGTGATGAGCTGCAGGGCCCCATCCTAGTTTGGAAGGAAGGGGTTTAGAAGTTGGAGGATGGGTGAAACGGGAGGCTGCGATCCATCTCCCTCTCCCTTCCACACTCAAGCTCCCGCAAACGCGCGCGTGCACAGCCCCTCCCTAGTCCCTGGGACCACCCGCCCCCACGCCCCTCTACCTTGACCTCCCTTGACCGCCGGCACAGCGTCCTGGGTGCGGGTGCCCGGGAGCGGCGAGTTCGCCGGGGAGCGATTGTCCTTGGGCGTGTTCGTGTTGTGGGGTGGGGGGAGGAGTGGCGGGTGG